ACATATCAAGGAAGACATCACACACTAAACTCAGAATCACCCAATGGAGACTGGCAACAAACAATAGAAAACCCAAAACCAACTAATGAGTACCTAGCAATTGAACAGTATCGAGTTCTACATTAATATTACCAATATGGCAGCAACCAAGAAGCTAATAGGTTGAACACTAAAGCATATTTTAAAAATTGCAAGCAAGGATTTAACACTACCAGCAAGGATTTATGTATTACTACATTTTTTCAATTATTAGAATTGCAAATTGAAACATTATGGTAGTGTTTATATGCATGTGACTTTGTTATATTAAAAAATACTAGATTTGATATAACTATCACAACTAATGAGAGTATAACCAACTAATGAGAGTATATGTGTACATATAACTATCACAGCAACTAACATAGTTTTCCAGGTGTAATATGAGGACTAATCATAATGTAGTTAAGTCTTAGTTGGTTTCTAATCTAGTCACTAGTAGCAGGGGAGAAGAGTTTATTGTACTAGTATGGTGGCAGCAGATGGAAATTGAACATGTTTCTAGTTATGATCATTGGAAGCAACAGTTCAATTGTATTTTACACCTTTGCTGTATTTTTTTATCTATATTTATGTTATGTGCAGGAAATTGAACCATTTTAGTATTACCTTGCAGATAATTTTTTTAATATGTAGATGATGGATATTTGGTCCTTTTAATTCAAATTCCAAACTTGAAGTATTTGCATTCTGCAATTTTACTTGGTATTTTATATGGCAAATACTACAAATTCTGATAGTCTCATAAACACTCACAAGGTTAGGCCTAAACTAAATATGCAAATTGTTTTCTTTCTGAAGATCCATTGAGAAGTGTCATGCACAAAAAAATCAAGGTTAGGAAAATGGTTGCTGACTGTATAATGCAAATCTTTGTTTCTGTGGCATTTAACCAAACACCATATGCTCGATTTTATCACCACCCAGAACAAGTTCTTTAAACATATTAGCATGCTTTTTCTCTATACTAGTCATCTTCAATCTCCAAAGATTAACCAACTTATCTATATTGATTTAAGCAACAGAATGTGTGTATATATCCCAATAATAGCATACGATTCAGAGGCTCCAACAGGTTTTGGCTCTATGAAACCTACAAGGAAAGATATGGTGATCATTGTTTTTCAGTCAATTTATTGAATGAAGAATTATTTAGTAGTTAATCATACCATAGACTTAATTTTTGTCCCATCATTGTAGAGGACGGACAAGGATGCCCCCCTTAAACTAAAATATCACTATGCTATCCTCCGATCTCACTCATCATTTTGAAAGCATGTTTGCTATATTTTATTCTAGGTTAAAAGTTAATAACTTATTTAAAAAAAATAATTTTTAAAACTTATAATTATCACATAAACTGTACAAAATCCCAAAATAGAAATCATCATAAATGGCTCATTTAAATTAACAGCACACAACACCATAATAAAAGTAGAGACAACATCCCTATATCTCAGAAAGTTTTCAATCCATTTCCCACTTAATACATCATTCCAGTGGCCCCAAAGAAGAAAAAAAAAACTAGCAGCCATCTTTTGTGTGTTTTATGGTTGGTGCACATGAGATGATAATCAGAAAGGTAAAAGTGGAAAAAATTGATAATAATACTAAAATTTAAACAGTGGACCATGTACTAACATCTAATATAATCACATTGGACAACCAAAACGACAGGATTGCTTCCATTGACAATGCACAAAGCAAAAAACAAAAAAAGAAAGAAAAAGGTAAATAATCCCACTATTATGCATCATGTATAACAGATGTTTTTCATAACTCAAAAGTTTGACATTCACACTATATCTTGTATGACTCAAGGACCCTAAAAACCAAAAATAAAAAAACCTCACAAAACAATTGAGTTTCTATGAACCCAAAAGCCAACACACTACGTAGCAGCACTAAAAACACTAATGGTGGTTAGAAACATAGGTTGAGATTGGGGGGGAAAAAATGTAAGAAAGTAATGACCAACGCTTATGCTCCCACTCCTACAATAGCATCTTCTTCTTTTTTCAATTGAAGCAGGCCATGGTTGGGCAACAATGGCAGTACAGTGAGGAGAAATACGGGCAATTTTGTAAGACAAATGATGAGAATGTGTCAAATCTACACTTTGGTAATTTCGGTTTTAAAAAAAAAACAAAACAAAAATTTTAATCACAGATTTTCTGCTAATTTATGATTAAAAATAAATTCCTTAAGGGCTGAGTTTTTCTAGTCTCATGGTGTAGGAGAGGGTTTAAGAAAGGAGTTGGAAAATTCGAAGATCTTCGAAGATCCTTGAAGAACAATTTCGAATTCTCTAGAATATGATGAGAGGCTTAGATTCTTCAATAATCTCAACTTAGGAACACGACAACAAAGGAGATGATGGAGATAAGAGATTGGGTGAAGAAGAAGGCAAAATGGCTAGAGAATAGAATAATGGCAAGGCTCTCCCATTGATCTCCCACTTTCACTCTCAAGGTTGATAATGGAGAGGGGAAATTAGTTCTTTCCCAAGAGTTAAAAATCTCCAAAATCCATCTCTTGTAAAGCTATGGGTGGGTGCTATTTATAGGCACCTCATGATGTAGGATGGAGCCTATGTGCAAGGCACATGGGGGATATTTTCTCTAACCACCTTGTCCGAGGGGGTGACCTCTCCGAGGAGGTGACTTCTCCGAGGATGAGAAAACCCCGAAGAGGAGATCACTCCCTCGGCGAACCCTTCTTCTTAGCCACACCTAACCAATGATCCCCGATCATCCCAAAGGGTCAGGGGTAGTCCCAGAGGACGTCCTGCCGCAAAATATTGCCGAGTCTCATGGACCCCCCGGGGTCGTGCCACCTCGACCCGGGTATAGGCTAGTGTAACCGAAGAGTGAATTTATCTCCACTCACCGTCCTCGGGATCGGGTCCTTTGTTCGAACTCCATTACGCCCATGGTTCTGGTGCGTAGATCCCAGAAAGCTCCGAGCCCGCAAGTGTTCTGGGACTCATTGACGGAGCGACTTCTAGATTGTGTCTGAATCCGTTCGAAGCCAAGTGTTTCGGACCTCTAGGTTACCCTTTCGAGTCCGAATGCCTCGGATCTCTAGGCTTGCTTAATCCCCTTTCGAGTCCGGGCCCGAGTAAGTCTTTAGGTTCGTGGATCTGAACCCTTTCGAGTCCGAGTACCTTGGATCTCTAGGCTTGCTTAATACCCTTTCGAGTCCGGGCCCGAGTAAGTCTCTAGGTTCGCGGATCCGAACCCTTTCGAGGCTTAGATCCATTTAGCCCGTTTGATGGTGATAAATTCGAGCCCACCAATCTTAGACTTGCGATAAATTCAGGCCCACCAATCTTGGACTATTGGGCCTAATTAATTTAATGGGCTCAAATTAGCCCCTCTTACACCAAGCATTTTTGCAATTTATTTCATCCACAATTTTTACTCTATTACATCTAGCTTTATGAATAATTTTTACACAATAGAACAATATTTATGTACTGTTTGACTATCTTATTGTTGTTGGTGGCCATAGCGAGTGTTATCAATTATTTCATGTTTTCTTAAACGTCAACACCAATGTATCACTTGTAACCATGCACTATTTGAATTTTAACTAAAAATTTTGGCTGAGTAAATTTAAAAAAAAAAAAAAAAAATCTTCAAAAACAGGAGGGAAAAAAAAGAGAAAAAGGGAACAATGCCATCTTTCATTTTCATACACCAAATCACCAATAACAAACAGTATATGCTAAATTAAGGGAGGATACACATTTATTGAGGAACATTCTCTTCCTGTTTGGGGGGTAAAAAATCAAAACATGTTTGCATTATTAATAAAGGAAAGGAACGAAAAAGGAATATAAGAGAGAAACAAAAAATGGAAAGGAAAAGAGGAGGAAAATGAAAGAAAATAATAAAGGGAGAGAGAAATAATTATGAGAAGTTTTAATTTCCTTTCCCCACTACTTTGCCAGGAAAAATTGGTTACCTGAAAGTGAATAAAAATTCTCAGTTACAACAATTATCATTTCCTTAATTTTTCAAGACAACCAAATGGCAAAATAAATCCCTCCTAATTTTCAACAAATTGTGACCTGTTGTTGACATCATAATATGATTTTTTTTTTCTCTTCTTTTTTTCTAACAAATACAAACAATTAGACAAATATGCAAAATGTCTTTCTTCGCTTCAACCCGTGGGAAGATATATGGCAGAGTTGGAGATCATCTGCAGGAAATGGAAATACAACAAAGAACACACTAAAAGAAAAAGAAATAAAGAAAAAAGAAAAAGATGACAGACTCAAAAGTTACATTAAACTACAATGTTGAGACTTCTTAACCGTGGTGCTAAATCGTGGCACAAAAGCCCTCCAAAAATCACAGCAAAAAATCACCCATCACTCGTCCATGTAAAAGCCAGAAGAACAATGGTAAGTGTGGAGAAAATGGTGGCGCCAGAGAACAACCACATAGCCCGGCTCGTGCTAGTATGGTGGATCTCTTGACTGCCCAACTCAACCTCTTTCAAGAGCTCCCTCACCTCATCCATGTCAGAATCTTTTGCAGCCTGGATTAATCTGCTTTGAATCTTCTCTAGCTTGTCTAGCCTCCTATCCCTCGATGCGTCCTTGGTTCGCCAAATAAAACCTGTCATCTTCCAAAGGAGAACGCCCACGTAGATGGCCACGATACAGTCCACACTGTAATGGTGGCGTTCCCGTACTTCTCTCTGGGCACTGTGCATTACTAGTAGCCATATCAGAACTGAGCTAAAACCTCCATAAGCTTCCTACAATCACAACAAAATACAGTAACAGTTCAAGATTTGAAAATTGGGGACAATGAGAATGCAAAAACATTTTATTATGCGCACCGTCCATGCCATAGCTGTGAGTACTGCTACGAGCATATGGCCACTGTATAGGAGGTCGTTGCAGCCGCCTCCAGCCTTTTTCAGAAGATGATACCATGACGATCCTTCGAAAGCATTGGGTCGCAAGAAATCAATTAAGAAGTTCATTGATCCCCAATCTGGACGGGGATCTTCAATGAAATTTGCAACTTCATCTGGATAAAGAAGAAGAAAAAAGTTAACACCTTCTTGTCTGGCTTGTACATTTTAGGACAGCTTTACACTGGAGAATCACGTAGAACTAGTGCAAGAAATAAAATAAGATACATATTTTCACTATACTACCAATGGCAAAAACAAACTCAAAACACTATAGGTTCGGTCGTGGAACACATTAACAACCCTGCATTTGAAGTGATTTGAACATGGTAAAAATCATTTGGCTTGGAAAAAGATAAAGAACTTCAAGTGCATGCAACACAGAAGACGAAACATGAGAATGAGAATGTTAATTCATAGACAGAACATACCAAAAGCTCTATCAAGATGGATAAGCTGGCGTATAGCGTTGGCATCAGAAGCATAAGGTACATAATATTTTTGAGCCCAACGATGAGGGTATGCAGGGACTCTGAACCGAGTTGATGCACACCAAGGCCGAGCTGATGGCAGAATTGTAGACACAAAAGTTATGGCCCGAAGAAGGCGCCCAATCGCCATGGTGAATATATATCTTGCACCCAGCCCAAGACCAGGAGCTTTTACAGAGTCAAATAGCACAGAAAATGCCAACATTATGAACAACATCAGGAAATGGTGTAGCCCAATTACATGGGCTCTCAATATCTCAACCATTGTGTGAGGAAGTTTCTCGTTCATTGCCAGCAGAAACCACTGCCCAGTGTCCGGAAGAGGTGCAGTATTACTGTCAAATATTAATAAACCAATCAAATATCCAATTGCTAGATATTAGCTGGCATATTGCTGGAGTAGAATTACTTAGGCTATGTTTGGTTGGAGGATTTGGGAAGGGATTTGCAAAGGAAAGGGAAAAGGCAAGTGAAATGTGAACTAAGTAATGCGATGGTGAAACTTTTCATGGAACAACAGTTACAGATCTGTTTGATATCCATATAAGCAATGTATTTTCAACCTACAGCAGCTGAAATATGAAGCTATTGACATTTAAGTACACGATTATGTATTCTCAATCATTAAATTTTCCAATCATGCAAACTTACACTCAATGGAATGACTTAGTAAATGTATAATATCCCCTATGCTTTTACCACATGACACCCAAGTTTGTATCCTGGTGGCTACAGGTTTGTGTGGTAGTTGTGTTCCGTATTACTCATTTCGTTGGTGCTAATCCTAGATCACCTTGACTGATCACCTTGATTACTCCAAAATATGATTATTTTTTCCTTGTTGAATCCTCTCAGCCCTGCTATTATCAGTCATAGTTCATGGCCTAAACAAATCATCAAAATCAACTTCAGTAACTAGAATCGTTGAGCAAGATTCAACTAGAGAAAACATAAAATTAGATTATGGGAAGATGGAGCCAAGATATTTATCCTACATAAATCTATCAATAACTTCTCTTGCAAGTTACAAGTCATTCCAATCCTCACCATAATGAAGTTAAAAACATTGCATATTCACACATTTTGGACTTCTCAAAATTAAAATACTTAAGCATAGCCAACCAAAAGTGATTAGGAATTTGCATCATAGGAACTTGTTCACTTGGCAATAATCATTTCTATCAAACTACACATGGAATGTACCACAAATCCTAGTTTCTAACTAACTCGTGTTGCTCTATTGGAATGAATATACACGGACCAAAAACTACTAAGATAAACAACATTGCACAAGGCTAACCAAAATGATATGATTGGAGGCTACAATATTGAAGCGGCACTATGGTTCAAACCACATTGGCTATAAAAAAAAAAAAAACCATGTCCATATATAACACTGCTATGAACCATGAACAAAGTTTCACGAAAATCATCTCAAAGCCATGGCCAGTCAATCCTAAGCTTTGCCAATCAACTTGCTGGTCGACAAGTCATGGCTTCAAGATGATTTTCATGAAACATTTTTTGTGAAGCCTAGACTTACTGTATCCATACAATATAAGTGCCCTAATACGTTCATTCACATGCATATAAACACAAGATAAAAAGCATTTTGGTGCACTTTTCAAGTAAAAATCTAAAAGAATCTGCAACAGAACACCCGTACATAAGGGTTAATAATTAGCAACCAAACAAGAAAGATTCAACATATCCAATAACCTGAAATAACTGAATTACACATCATAGATCTATTAAATATCCAGACAACTCATTACAGTTGTCACCAGATCTGACTATGTTTTTAAAATTACAATGAAAAATGTTACTTAAAAAGCAAAACCTATCAAATCAAAAAACTGATCACTCCAAATCAAACCGAAAATTAACAAATCTAGTTCACTTTTTTCAAAGATCGAGCTTTTATATTTCCATTCTTAGAGATTTGTAAAACCTCAAATAATAACACCACAAATTAAACACATATATCGATTTTTACGAGCTGAGTAAGGATTCATCAGATTTGAAGAGAAGAGAAGAGAAATTGTGTATTACCGGTGCCAATCGAGGCCGAGAACGGCGGTGACGAAGCGAACAGAGAGAGCTTCGAAGAGGAGAGCAGAGAGCATGAAAAGCAAGGCGGCGACGAAGGGGAGAGCGGAACGGAGCTCGGCGGACCAGTGCTTGTAGAAAGGGACGCGAACAACGGCGATGAGAGCGAGAACGGTCCAGAGAAGCGGCTGGAGCTTCTCGTGCCACGACGGAGCAAGGTAGCGGAGGTAGTCAACGCCGACGTACGACATGGCGGCTAAACCGAGGCCTCCGCCGCGTAAGGCGGTGAAGATCGCCGCCGGCCGCGGCGGAGGCGGCGGCGACCACCTCATGGTTTGGTGGTGTGTGGCGGCGATGTGTGAGTGAGTGAAACAGTTGAAGATACTTTGGAGTGGTTGTTGAGATAGATCGGTGAGACTGTATTTGGAAAAGTTTGTTTTGACTTTCACTTTTTTACCGGGTTTCTATTTTAAAAGTTTGTTATAGATAATTAGCATAATTGGAAATTTCTCTACTTTGTTATCTGAAAAAAAAAAAGAAAAAAAAAGGTTTATTTTCAGTTTTGTTTTCTGCATTTTTTTATTTATTTTCAGTGAACTTTTTATATTTTTATTTTATTTTTTAGATTCACTTAATTTAAATGTACATAAAAAAATTAAATATTTGTGATTTTTTAATTAATTAAAATTTACTAAATCCAAAAAATAAAAAATAGTCCGTGTTTTTTTTTAAATATTTTATTTTTGTAGGTACATCTTGATTTGTGTTTAAATAATAATTTTTTTGATTTAAATATATAAAAAAAACTCATTAAAAATTAAAAAAAACACGAAGAATAAAATAATTTTAAATAGTATTCAAAAATTAGACTAAACAAATAAAAAGGAAAAAAAAAAAAAACAAGAAGAAGAAGAAGAAAAAAAACTCACTTAATGATGTATTACAAATTTCATGTTGTTGGATGTTTTGTTTTAATTAGAGTTAGACGTTAGTTTGGTTTGTTTTTCAAAAAAAAAAATTGAAAAAAATCCTCTACAAATAAATTTTTAAGAGTAATCAAACTAAACAAATTTTTTCAAAAAAAAACTCAAAATTTTGTTTGGTTAGCTACTTTCTAAAATCACTCTCTCATATACACATCAAATCAATCATTTTTTTTTTACAAAAAAAAAAAATCAATCACTTTTTTTAAAATTCTCTCTCACAAAACAATTTTTCAAAACCATTTCTGAAAAAAGATAAATCAAACAAATTTTCGTACTTTTTATCTCAAAAGTTACTCTACAAACATGAATCAAATGCTTCCAAATGCAGGCTGCAGCTCAGCCAAAACTTCATCGTTTTGACTAGGTTTGATTTGTATATATATATATATATAAATTATTGTATTTTATAATACACATCTATTAAAAAAATTAAAAGGATTTGTTTAGTTAAAATAAAAAAAGTAAAAGTTACATGGAAATTTAAAATATTTTTATTTGTCTCAAAATCACTTTTTGATAAAAAAAAAAAAATTGCAAATCAACGCTAAAACATAAACACTTGAAATAGAAAACATAAACACTTAAAATAAAAACACAAAAATTTAAATTTTTTTAAATTAAATTTAATTAATTAATTTTTTTAAAATATAAACACTTAATTAATTAATTAATTTTTTTATAGAAAATGATTTTGAAACAAATAAAATTATTGCAAAATTAAATTTTCATACAATTTGTACTGTTTTTTATTTTAATGAATCAACTTCATTCAATTTCTTTAATAGAATTGTATTACAAAATATAATAATTTTTTATTTTTATTTTTTATATACATACAAATCAAACCCGGCCAAAACGATGAAATTTTGGCTGGGCTGCGGGTGGAAGCCTAGTCAATTTTTTATTTTTTTTTTTTATATACAAATTAAAATTTGCTTGTTTCTACTTTTCAAAAAACACTTTTTATAAAATTCTACTTTCTTATTTTTCGTATTTTTTTATTTTTACTGAAATTTTTTAATATTTTAAGTAATTTTTTTACTTTTTAGACACACCTAACATAAGTACACCTAAAAAATAAAAAAAAATCTTTTAAAAATTCACTAAATACCAAAAATGCAAAAAAAAATACAAGAATTCAATACATTTTTTGTATTTTTATGTATTTATTAATTTTTTAAAATATTTTTTCACAAATTTTTTACTTTTTAGATACATCTAAGTAAGGTGCATCTAAAAAAATATAAAAAATGTTTAAAATTTAAAAAATATTCACTAAAAATAAAAAAATACAAAAACCAAAAAAATTAATTTTTAAAAAACTTAATTCAAAAAACTCAAACCACACACGTTGAATGGTGTTGTAGAGTGTTGTGACAACAGCCATCCTACTCCTAGTCTAAGAGCATTCAATTATGGAAAATATTCGAGACACTTAAAAAAATTATCACAATTCGATCTATTTTGTAGTTAAATTTTAATTTGTTACATATTTAATAATATAAAATTTAACTGCCTTATCACTTTATTATGAATTTAAAAGTGTAAGTCTTAAACAATTTTGTTTCAAGCATAAGGTTCTGGAACATTGTACAATGCTACCACTGGATTAGATGGAAGGGACTAGACTGTCCCTAGTTTACTATCGGACTAGACCATCCAGTCTGGTTTATTGGGTTTACTTTTAAATTTTGTTTTAATAATTTAAAAAATTCAAAATTTATTGTTACAAAACAAATATAATTTATGTGAGACTAATCGTATTATTAGTCTCTTTTTTTTAAACAAAAAAAAAAAGACTAATTACACTAACCGTCCTTGTAATTTGGAAATTGTGTCACTTTGGTCTCTAACTTTTTAATTGTAATACTTTGATTTTGAATTTTGAATCTTGAATCTTGTTCCTAATAAGAATAATTAAATATATTTCCTTGGTAAATGGTCCATTTTAAAGGCAAAGTCGTCATGTAACTTATTTTGCGTTAGTTAATTTGTATGTTATTTGGAATGTAATGACATTTTTTTTAATGAATAATGCTAAAAAAAATTTGGTTATAAAGTTCTGTTTGACTTAATTTGTATAATCTATTTTCATAATTTTTTTTAAGAAATTAAAAAATAAATTGGTGAAAAAAATTAAAACACATTATTTATATAATTTTATCTTTTGGGAGGGTAGAAATAATTTTTTTAAATAATTTTTTTTGATATTTATTTTCGTTAAATTAATTTCAATTTTTTCAAAATTTAAATATGGCGACAACTTCAATATCATTATTAAACCAATCCATTAAATCAAAAAATCCAAAACTAAAAAGATTTCATATATTAAATATATCGATTACGCATTAAAAGCTTAATAACCATTTATTACATGATAATCATTAAAAAAAAAAAAAAAAAACCTGTTAACAACAATTACAACCATTTATTACATTATAACTATCCAAAAAATCAACAAAACAACCACTCATTACACGATCATAATCCAAACACATATTAAAATTTAATTTGACAAAAAATATAAAAATGTAAAATATTTATCATTTTTATATCGTAATTTTTATCTTTGGTTGGTAGAAGTAATTTTTAAAAATTCAAAAATAATTTTTTGATATTTATTTTTGTCAAATTAGTTTATTTTATCAAATTGATGACTTTGCCCGTTAAATGGAGCAACAGTGTTTTCAATTGTTCTTACTTGAAATAAGAATCAAAATTCATGATCAAATGTATCACAATTAAAATATTATGAATTAAAATGACACAAGTTTCAAACAACAAGAATTATTAGTGTAATTTGCCAAAAAAAAAAAAAAAAAAGGAAGTTCCGTAGGGGTATTGTAGTTTTCGTAGGCTTTGGCCCTGGGATAATATGTTGACAAGCAGATTTAAGGGTTGTTTGGGGTGTCCTAAATAAGTATACTTTTTGTCTTTTTGGACTCAAAAGTTGAGGAAAAAAATATGGATATTTGGATTAATTTTTTGACTTTTTATGAAAAAAATGTGTATTAAAAAATTGTATAAATAAGTGTATAGGGGAATAAAGTGATAGAATAGGGGCAGCGCGGCAGAGGGCAGTGTAGGATATTGATTCTCTACTTTTCGGGCATAAATTGATCGGTTCTGTTCAGCCCATGGGGGCCCATCACGGGTCCTGTTTTACTAATCGGAACCGTTCAATGTGTAGAACTCGTCGAGTACTGTATGTTTATAAAAAATCACGTTGATTGGATATCGATAATTATCTGATCGTGTTAGTTTTTTTTTTAACTGGTAACTATAACACCATCCTTTTTTATACAAAACTGATTTGATTATATATTTAACAATATCCGATAAACGTGATTTTTTACGGGAATATAGCACTAGACGAGTTCTACATATTGCACGGTTCAGATTATCAAAACGGGACCAATGGTGGGCCTCTACGGGACCAACTCTACCATCTAATATACTGAATATTTTACTATAATTTTTTTTTCGCCTCGGTCACTGACTCCACCATCACGTCAGTACCAATCTTAGGACTTGGTTTTTGATTTGTATTAATATGTGTATATTATTTTTTTAATATTTTTTTTGATAAATAATAATAATTTTTTAATTTTTTAAATAACTTTTTAATTTTTTAAATTTTTTAAAAGTTGTCAAACTTAACTTCACCAACCCAAAGAAAGGGCCCTAGTGGGGTAACATTGGATCCTAGTCGTAGTCCACAATAAGATTCGTAGAACTATGTGACAGGAATACAACACATTGTCTAAAAATTTATACGTTTTTAAGTGTCAAACCCAAGTAACTTGTATGAAAAGAGCCTCAAAAACCAATGAACCATCACCCGCGATGGTCAATATCGTCGTATTGTTAATCTAATTCCAGCACCTTCCAATAAAAAATAGAGTCAAAGTTTTATTTATTTATTTTTTTGAATTGCTTTCGAATTTTTAGTATAAATATTCAATACATGGATAAGAAAAGTTTAAATAGGAAAATGACAAAAGGTAGGCTCACTTCCCAAAATTTAGGCTCAATATTAGCCTCGGGCTCCAATTTCATAGCCCACAAAATGGTCCAATTAGTGGCTCAAAACTTGACACTTCAATTCGACAGCCCAAACAGGTTCAGTTCCCCAAAGCCTTAGTTCAAGCAGCTAATGGATCATCAATTAACAATTTAAGGCTTTAAATTGATAACTAATCAAAGGCCTAAAACAGTGTATTGTTTCATTTTTGCCTGCACTATGGACTTTTTTGTCTTTCTCTTTTGTTTTACTGATTCGTCTCCAGTGTGGTGTTTATATCTATTTTCCCTTTGTAACATCATGATTCAATTTATCAAGATGAGATTCATTATGTTGCCTATTGCTTATTAATTAGTCAAAATAGAACATGATTTTTATTTATTTATTATTTATTTTGTGTGTACGATACCTGTTATGATTTTTTTATAGCATTAATATACACTGAGATTCAAATGAAAACATATACTTGTTCTTAACATGGGGTGAGAACAATGCAAAGAGTATGAATGAATTAATGAGAAAACTGATACAATTTTTTCAATGCATTCCTAGTTACCCAACTATTATTATTAATATACTCAATATATACATAGAGCCTAATGCATTCCTAGTTGCAAAAAATCACATATAACCACTACTCTTGATGTATGATTTTGTTGTTGTGATCCACATTCTATAACATTCTATTTTTTTATTGCTTATCTTTTAGGCCTTTAAATTACTTTACTGTGGACTTTCATGAGTAATTGAGGAAGATAAACTTGATACACATACAATTAATTATTGGATGAGAGGGTAAAAAGCGTAAGTCTGGGCCTAGCTAGAACTGGGAAGAAGCGCGCCGAGCTATGGGCTGAGTAGAATGGGCTTCGCTGTTGGGCTCTGTTAGCCCGGTCATGGATGACTGAAGTTAGCTCGGTTCAGAGTATTCTGAACTGGGGTACAAGGAGTTGCGTTGTGCAAACAAGTTGATACCGAGCTAGGTAAAGCAAGGTAGAACCGAGCTAAGAAGAGTTCGGTGAAACTTGCCACGTCAGCATATGTTAGCCCGGTTGCTCTGTTATCCAACCGTAGTAAAGCCATCTCACTTGGTTTAAGCAGCGAGGAGGATGTTGAAGGATAAACATTATCTTTCGGGAGTGTGATTCCTAGGAGGACTCTACATTGAGGAATAAGAGTCCTATTAGGATTGTGCTAGGTAAAACCTATAAAAGCTCATAACAGACCTATGTACAGATAACACAACTTTGATTCTTAGATACACAGAGCTTTTGTCTATTTGTCTATCTTGCTAACTTAGGCATCGGAGGGGTATCCGGCGCACACCCACCGGCTAGCTCACGTTTGTGTTTTCAAGAAGTAAAGCGACGACGTTTGGAGGAAACGCAAACTTAATCAACAGGATTATACGAGAAGATTATTCTGCGCTCGTACAATTGGCGCCATCTGTGGGAAGTCCACAAAGAACAAAACCTCCTGATCAAGCTTTCCTCTTTAGTTGGAAGCAATGGCGCACAATGAAGACTTGCCGCAATCAGCTATTGATGGGCAAACCCCAGAGGAAGGTGAGAGGCATGAAGGTTTTCCTTCTATCCCTCCCATGGCAGATTTAGAACCCCAGCGACGGAACTCCCGAAGGGATGCAAGAAAGAGACGGGGCACTAGCCCCCGTCGCTCTCACAAAGTCCTGATAGACAAAGGCGGAGGCTGGATCCTCGAGTTCTGGAGGATCGCGTGAGGGAGCAGGACGAGTTAATTAGGAAGATGGCAGCAGACATGGAGTCAATGAAGCGCCAGATAAAAGGAAAAGGGGTGGCGACAGGAGAGGGACGCAAAGGCAACACGCCCCCTCGCCACTCGGAGGATCGTGATAGGCATACCACACCATCACAAACAGAAAGTAGGAGCCTTAGAACAAGTGACACTCAATCGAGGACTTCTAAGACTCGTTACTCTAGGCCTGAGAGAATGAGAGCTGAGAGGTCGTGTACTGAAGGAAACACATATCGACCCTCGCACACGCACCAGACGACATTTGGGCTATTTTGGGAACTTGGCTAAAAGCCACTTTTTTTGGTTAGTAGCAAAAGCCAAAAGTTGGCTTTTTTGGCTTTTTTTTTCATTTGGCAAGTTGGTTTTTAGCCAACGGTGAAATTACAATTTTACCCCTCATGGGTCACAATGTGTTACATAGGTTCAGTTGTAAATATTTTAAATAAATGGGGGTAGTTTAGTCATTTTATTATGATTTGACATCATAAACAAATATTAATCAAAAAAATCAAAAGTCACTTTTTACCAACTTCCCAAATCATTTGTCTAAAAAAGCCAAAAGCTTGGTTAAAAGCCAAAAAGTCACTTTTTACCATCTTCCCAAAACAACCCTAGGCACACAGAGTTGCCTAGATCATCTGACTTGCGAACAGTACTAGAATAAAGAGCCTAATAGAATGAGGACACCAGGGCTCGCGACCCACGCAGAGTTTCAACACTATAGCGATTGGCCCCCCGGACACATGGGACTGTCGAGGTAGGAATGCCAATGTCGCGTCTTGCTTACGAACCAGCGGACAAAGTATTAGCAAGGCTACAGAACTCGCCGTTTGTTCCGGCAATAGAGAACGCACCACTACCTTCAGGCTTCCACCAGCCCAAATTCACCACTTATGAGAGGAAGACAGACCCTACATGCACTTGAGCCACTTTCGCTAGGTTATGGCAGTTTATCGGCGAATGAGGCCCTGATGTGTATCATGTTCCCATCCAGCCTTGGCGACCTAGGTCTAACCTGGTTCGAAAAGACTACCAGAAGGCAGTATCTGTCACGACCCAAACCCGCCCCTATGAGTTTAGCACCGTAACCGGCCAGTAATCTGTGATTACCGAAGGCCTGCTTAACAGTAACGAGTTGTAAATATTTTAAATAAATGGGGGTAGTTTAGTCATTTTATTATGATTTGACATCATAAACAAATATTAATCAAAAAAATCAAAAGTCACTTTTTACCAACTTCCCAAATCATTTGTCTAAAAAAGCCAAAAGCTTGGTTAAAAGCCAAAAAGTCACTTTTTACCATCTTCCCAAAACAACCCTAGGCACACAGAGTTGCCTAGATCATCTGACTTGCGAACAGTACTAGAATAAAGAGCCTAATAGAATGAGGACACCAGGGCTCGCGACCCACGCAGAGTTTCAACACTATAGCGATTGGCCCCCCGGACACATGGGAGTGTCGAGGTAGGAATGCCAATGCCGCGCCTTGCTTACGAACCAGCGGACAAAGTATTAGCAAGGCTACAGAACTCGCCGTTCGTTCCGACAATAGAGAACGCACCACTACCTTCAGGCTTCCACCAGCCCAAATTCACCACTTATGAGAGGAAGACAGACCCTACATGCACTTGAGCCACTTTCGCCAGGTTATGGCAGTTTACCGGCGAATGAGGCCCTGATGTGTATCATGTTCCCATCCAGCCTTGGCGACCTAGGTCTAACCTGGTTCGAAAGACTACCAGAAGGCAGTATCTGTCACGACCCAAACCCGCCCCTATGAGTTTAGCACCGTAACCGGCCAGTAATCTGTGATTACCGAAGGCCTGCTTAACAGTAACGACAGAAATACAGAGTAAAGAGGCTGGCGGAAGCTAAAACAGTAAATAAAAGATGTCCAATGAGCTGTAACAGTCTGAATGCAAAAAGACTTTTTATAAACATACCACATTGACAACCAAAACATATATATATGCAACATACACACAAATATCCATGTCAGGGATCGAATCTCTAACTATAACTGTACAGTCAAGACTATAACATTTGTTATAAAACAGATACAGAATGGTGGAACTGAGACATCCCAGAGCAGCCCTAGCTTGAACAGACATGGAACCTCAAAGTGAGGCACAAAGGTTGGCTTGACAAAATAAGAGCTAACCCGACGCTCCTAGCTCCGGTCCGGTGCCTGGACACCTACATGTATATATAAACAGTGAGCTAAAGCCCAGTGAATAACATATGCGTAAAGGGGTTAAGAATGAATGTCCTTGCAATAATAGTCATATGTGGTACATTCATTAGCAAAATAGTACAGTAGGTCTTAATAAACCAAATAGTCAGTTGATGGCCATTATAACAGTAAACAGTAGTGGTTCCAAACATGGGAACCGACAGAGATTTCTATGACAGTAGCAGTAACAGTACAGTAATAGTAAATTGTTATGGATGCCACGGATACAGTTTACAAGTATGACAAACATTCATTCATTAAACAATAACGGTTCAGTAAGCAGAACAGTTGATCATTCAGAAAATAATCATAATTAAACATATATTTACAACACTGTTACTCACAGAGCACTGGGCTAGAGACAAGCTAACGAGCGTCCTCGGATGTCAACCCTACAGTTGCAGAACGAACACACACTCCGGATTAATAACTTAGCCCCTAACTATACAAGTATGGTTCTATAACATTATCCTCATTAAGATGCCTTAAACTTGGCCTAGGAATGCCTATAATGGAATGAGGATGTAAAAATGCACTTTAAAACACTTTTCAAATTTTTGCTGAAACAGGGGTCTCGCTTGAGCGTGGCTTTCTACGCTGGAGCGGACATGCAGACAAAGGAGCTCTGCTCGAGCGTGACTTCCCTCGCTCGAGCGGGCTGTAAACTCATGAAAAAGTACTGGATGCACGATTTTCACGCTCGATGGACGCTCGACCTCCGCTCAAGCGTGAGACTCAGATCCTCGCTCGAGTGCGAATTCTCTCGCTCGAGCGGACTGCAAAAGGGAGTAAAGCGACGACGTTTGGAAGAGCGCAGACTTGATCAACAGGATTATACGAGAACATTATTTCTTACTTGTACAATTGGCTTCGTCTGTGGGAATTCCACAAAGAACAAAACCTCTTGATCAAGCTTTCCTCTTTAGTTGGAAGCAATGACGCACAATGAAGACTTGCCGCAATCAGCCATTGATGGGCAAACCCCGGAGGGGGATGGGAGGCGCAATGGTTTGCCTTCCATCCCTCCTATGGCGGTTTTAGAACCCCAGCGATAGAACCCCCGGAGGGATGCAAGGGGGAGGTGGGCTAACAGCCCCCGTCACTTTCAAAGTGCTAAAAGACAGAGGCAGAGGATGAACCCTCAAGTTCTGGAGGATCACGTGAAGGAGCAGGAGAAATTAATAAGGAGGATGGCGGCAAACATGGAGTCGATGAAGCGCCAGGTAAAAGGAAAATGGATGGCGACAGGAGAGGGCCACAAAGGCAACAAGCTCCCTCGCCACTCGGAGGATCGGGATAGGCATACCACACCATCGCAAGCAGAAAGTAGAAGCCTTAGAACAGGCGACACTCAATCAAGGAATTCCAGGACTCGTTACTCCAAGTCTGAGAGAACGAGAATTGAGAGGTCATATACCCAGGGAAGCACCTATCGACACTCGCACACGCACCAAACGTCATCTAGGCACACGGAGTTGCCTAGATCATTTGACTTACGAACTGTGCTTGAAGAAAGGGCACGATGGAAGGAGGATACCAGGGTACACAACCCGTGTAGAGTTTCAGCCCTTCAGCCGTTCGCACCTCGGACACATGGGAGCGTTGAGGTAGGAATGTCAATGCTACACCTTGCTTATGAACCAACAGACAAAGCATTAGCAAGGTTACAGAGCTCGTCGTTCGTTCTGGCAATTGAGAACGCGCCACTACCTTCAGGCTTCCACCAGCCCAAATTTACCACTTATGAGGGGAAAACAGACCCCTACATGCACTTAAGCCTCTTTCGCCAGGTTATGGCAATATACCAACGGAGCAAGGCCTTGATGTGTATCATGTTCCCATCCAGCCTTGGCGACCTAGGTTTAACCTGGTTCGAAAGGCTACCAGAAGGCAGCATCGCCTCTTGGGCACAATTGGCAGAGGTGTTCGTGACTAGATTCAAAACGAACATCAAGACACCAGTGGAGATCGATCAGCTATTAGTCATAACCGCATCTCATAATCAACACCATTTTGTTCATAACTAATATCACATATTTCATAATCACATCTGATAACTAAAACCATTTTGTTCATAACTAATATCATATATTTCATAACCATAATCACATATCTTATAACCAATACCCTTTGGCTCATAACCATACCACTTTGATCATAACCAATATCACATATCTCATAACCATTGATCAGATATCTCATAACTATTACCCACATGAATCATAACCATATTTCATAACCAACCCCTTTTAGTCATAACCAACATCACATATCCCATAACTATCAGTTACATATCTCATAACCAACACCTTTTTGTCATAACCAACATTACATATCTCATAACCACTAGTCACATATCTCATAACTAACACCCTTTTGCTCATATCCACACCACTTTGATCGTAACCAATTTCACATATCTCATAACCATTGATTATATATCTCATAACTACTACCCACATGAATCATAATCATATCTCATAACCAACCTCTTTGAGTCATAACCACTAGTCACATATTTCATAACCACTAGTCACATATTTCATAACCAACACTTTTTTGTCGTAACAAACATCACATATCTCATAATTAATACCCGTTCGCTCATAACTATACCATTTTAACCATAACCAATATCCAATATCTCATATCTCATAACTATTAACATATATAGCATAACCAAACACCCTTTGACACCACTTTGCTCTTAACCAAAATTACATATCTTATAATCACTAATCAAATATCTCATAACCATTACCCACATATCTCATAACCAACATCACATATATCATAACTACTAATCGCATATCTCATAACCACTAATCACATATCTCATAACCAAGCACCTTTGACTTATAACTACATCACTCTGCTCATAATCAAATCACATATCTCATAATCAGTAATCATATATCTCATAACCTTTACCTACATATATCATAACCACATCTCATAAGTAACATCATTTGCCTCATAACCAACATCACGTATATTATAATCACTAATCACATATCTCATAATTACTACCCACATATAGAGGTGTAAATTTGGTCCACGAGCTCGTGGCACACCCCAAGTCCGCTCACGACCTGGGTGGGCCCAACCAGGCCCGAGCCTAAGGCCAACCTAAGACCCTAGGCTATGTGTTCTAGAGCCCGGCCCAGGCCTGGCGTGTTATGGAGTGTGACCCATTCTGTGAGCTCGACTCGAATTTTTTTTCCCATCTGCCCGACCCAACCCCAATGGCTCCCTACCTCTTTGTCAGTGCAACGGTAAAAAATTTAAAAAAAAATAAAAATTGAAACAATCATATAACCGTTAATTCCACCAACAACCAATTTAAATTAAAATTTTTATTTATATATATATAAATTAACCTCTCACTCCCAAGTCCTATAACTACCACCCCTCTTTATTTATTTATTTATTTATTTCTCACAAACAAATCTATCTCTCAAACTCTCAACTCTCTTAATTAATTTTGAAGTGTCATCCCTAAGTGACAATTGCAATTGATTACATATCTCTATTTTAGATTTATTTTTAGTTATAGTATCTTCATTAAATATAATAAAAATAGTAATATACAAATGATATACTTTTTAAAATATCTATATACACTTATAGACGTATATATATATATATATAATTTAACTAAATTTTAATAAAAAAATATGTTGAAAAAAATTTATCTATGACGTGATTTTATTTTGTTCTACAAAATAATTTTGCTCCTAAAATTTTTTCCCAACTTTTCTTTATTTTTTTCTCTACTCTATTTTCTTCTATTTGATTTGTCCTAGTTGTGCCTAAGCTCTCTCTATTTCTTACTCAGACTTCTCTATTTCACTTAAATTATCGAAGAACCATCGTTGATTGTTCTTCCTCACTGGATTCTTCCTCTCTACTCCCGTGTCTCTGCAATAGATCCCTGAACTCGTCACTACTCTCTCTGTCTAGTTCAATATTACTCATTCTGGAAATATTTATCTATCTCGTAAATCCATCTATCTCGAAACTCTAGCTCTTTCACATTAATATGTTATACATATACAAACCTTTGGTTGTAGTTATGATTTGAAAGGTTTTGTTATTATCAATTTGTACACGTGTTATAGAATTGTTGAAAAATGAATATTACGCATTTTGTTTATCGTTCTGCTATCTCAGTCCTCTTTATCTCTCAAGCATCTCTCTCATTCTTTACTATCACTATAGATATCTCCGATGTTCCTTATTGAAAACGACACCACCTTTGATGTCATTTTTACAGGTGATAAGCCTGTTTAGTCTGTCTTTCTCATATTCCCTTTACTCTCGCTCTACTCGTTAATCTTCTCTAACTCTCATCTTCTGTTCCATGGTTTTAAGTCTTTGATCAAATTATTTAATGATTGTCATTACTAGGGGTGAGCATGGTCCGGATTGGATTGGATTGGATTGGGGTAAAACCAAGACCAAGCTGTTATCTATGATTCCTTAAAATTTGAAACCAATCCAATCCGTTTAAATCATGGAACCAATCCGAACCAATCCATTTAAATATAGATTGGATCGGTTTAGGATCACAGATTTACATTATTAAATAACAAATATATATATATATATAACACTTTAATTTCATAAAAATATAAACATAACGCTATATCAGTTCCACAATAGCAACATGTATTTCTATAATAGCGGCATACTGTTATAGAATTTAAACAACCATAAGAAAACTGGTTTCACCATAAGTATTTAGACCATTACAAATTAAAACTAAAAACTAACAAACAAAAGTAATAAAAGAATATATTATGTGGGTTTAGGTTTGAGTTTAGGTTTTATATGAAATAAGAGAAGATATTATGGGGGATGATGTATAATAAAAATATAGACTATTTGTATATGGTCCAGATCGGTTCCAATCCGGAACCAATCCGTGGACTACGAATTTTTAATTTTTCAATCCAAAACTGAACCACGGATTCAAAAAAACAAATCCAAACTTATCGGAATGGACTGAACTTGTTCGGATTACGGATTTCATGGATTCCTTACTCAGCCCTAGCCATTACATTTTGTTTTCTCTGTATCATGAGAGATCCCGATTGGTGATTTTAGGATTTTTAGTGATTTGTTAGTCATTTTATGATAATTGTTATGAAAGTTTGTTGTTTGATTACAAAATTTGTGGTTTAAAATTTTTTTGGATATTTTGGCTACCTCACAGTTAATTGTGTTGTTACGCATTTAGTGATTGATGTTATGAAATTTTATGAATTGATTATGACATTTGTGATTTGTAAAAATTTTGATTATTTTTTATTATGTCACTCAGTGGTGCAGTCACACATTTTGCAATTGATGTTATTAAATTTTGTGAGTTGATTATGACATTTGTGGTTTTTAAAATTTTTAGATGTTTTTATTACACAAATTAGTGGATAGTTACATTTTGGTTAATGTTATGAAATTTTGGAAATTAGTTATAACATTTTTGATTTTCTACAATTTTAAACAATTTTGTTATGCCAATTAGTGATGGCGTTATGTATTTTGTATTTTATATTACAAAATTTTGTGACTTAATTACGATATTTGTGGTTTCTAAAATTTTAAATATTTTTATTACACTAATTAATAGTGTGATTATATATTTTGTAGTTGATGAATAAAATATGTTTTTTAATAAATTTACCTAATAAAAATAGATGAAGATCTTTTATTAAAAATGAATAAAAAAATTTATGTATAAATTAACAAAATTATAAATTAATAATTTATTTTATTATAAGCCTCTTTTAATTTTTTTTTTATAATAATTATTACATAATTCTCCCCCCTAATGATTATTACACAATTCCCCCGCCCCCAAATAATTTTCTCAAAAAATTTGGAACCAGCATCCAAATTTGCCAAAATCAAAATTTCCTCATTGTTGACAAATCCCTAGACCGTTTCTTCAGCCCAATCGTTCTCAGAAATTACTCTCTCTCATTCTCGGTCGTCGCCGCTGCCCGTTGCCACCGCCCAGACCTGTTTTGCTTTCGCCGCCGCATCCGCCGCCACGGAGAAAAGCTCCCAAAGCTGTTGGCGAAGATCTCTACAGGATCTCGCCGGAGCTCCTCCACCGAAGAGTGAGTTTATTCCTCTGCCCTTTTCTTTTCCTCCTCGTTTTAGTAAGCTACATGCCTCAATGTATCTCTCTCTCTCTCTCTCTCTCGCTCTGCAACTTGTTTCTCTCCCTTTCTCCATCTCCATTCTATGAAACCCTAGACCGAAATCCCCTTCTTCGAAACTGCCCCTTTCACCTTTGTGAACTCACTGGGTTGGTTTGTAAAATTAGGAAAAATGATTTGAATAGGTTTAGGTTTTTTATGTTTGTTAGTTGTGTTGATTCCAGATACATATAGATATATACTTGAAATTTGGCTTGACTGTGTGAAATCTGATGTGTGGGTAATTGAATTTTGTACTCATGTAACGGATATGAGACTGTAATTTTTTATTTGTTTATTGAAATCTGTTTATGTTTCTAACAATTACTTTTGTGGTGGCTTGATTTTCCTATGAGAAAGAAAATTAAAGTGGTTTGTGATGTATTAGCTTTAGCAATTTTCTGGGAATTGTGGAAACTGAGAAACGAATGGATATTTTGATGTTACTGGAGAAGATGGTCTATGGATGCATGTTAATCAAGCCAAAGAGTTGGCTATTTATAGAGGGAGTGTAGATACAAGAATTATCAATTGAATTGGTTTTTAAAAAAATTAAAATGTAAAAAGAGAAAAAAGAAAAGAAAAGAGAGCTAATAATTCCTAGAAAACAGAGAAACATACAGAAACAAAAGAAACAGAGGATGATTTGGGAATGTGATCAATGACTTTGCTGTTTATAGATGGAATCAAAGAGAGAGAGAAAGAGTCAATAATTGGATTACAAATTTTGAACATTTTCAAAGGAAAAAGCTGAGAAAATAAAAATTAATATCAGATATTCATTCTTCACAGTTAGAGTTTTGAAATCAAAGTGGCACAACTATTGGCTACATATGTTAATTTTGATTGAGAACCAAACTTAATATCAAATATTCAATAAGGGTTAGAGTTTTCAAATCAAAAGCCCTAATGTAAATGAAGTTTAGAGTTAGAAACAAACTGAGCTACAGAAAATATCTCTTGGAAAGAATGGAAGCAACTAGTTCTTGACGTCGAGAGAGAGAGAGAGAGAGAGATTGTGAAGAAGATGTCAACACTGAGAGAATGGTGGCCCCGACACCGATAGGGCTGGTGGTCTTCGTCAATGGCTAAAGCTTCGGCTATGGCGGAAGAGAGGAGGGAGGAGAAGAGAAGAGAAGAGCAAGAGCAAGAGCAAGAGCAAGATAGGGAGGCCAACTGACTTGGGACCTCTCAATTCCTCTGATTTTCTTTGCTCTCTTTTTGGTAACCGACACCAACTGGGCTGGTGGTCTTCGGCAATGGCTGAAGCTTCGGCTATGGCGGAAGAGAGGAGTGCGGAGAAGAGAAGAGTAAGAGCAAGAGAGAGAGGCTAGCTGACTTGGGACTCCTCGACTTTTTTGATTTCCTTTGCCCTCTTTTTGGTAACCAGTTACACCGGTTGCCAATTCAAAATTATATTATTAAAATAATTTAGTTATGTGGTAGTTGTGAGATAATATGGTATGTATGAATAACTAAATATAACTAAGTTATAAGTTAATATGATAATGGTTGTGATCTATATGATATTGGTTATGATCTATATGATATTGGTTATAGTATAAAATCACATAACCTCATAATTGATGTATGGTACATCCAAATGTACCAGAGCATCACCTGTAAAGTAAGTAGTAGTTGGGAATTTGATGATGAAACATTTCTCAAACTTGAGGCAACACCCATTTACTCTGTGTTTGGTTGGGAGATTTAGGGAGGGATTTGGAAAGGGAAAGGAAAAGGGAATGGGAAAGGGAAAAGATATGTGAAATTAGGTGAAATGTAGGTATAATTTATTCACATTTCGCCTACCTTTTTCATTTTCCTTTTCAAATCTCACCTCAAATCCTTCAACCAAACACAGCATTAGTGAACGTCGTTTAAATTTTTGTTGCTAAATTTGTTCAAATTGAACCTGTTATCCATTCATCATCAATGATGCTTTGAGGCAATGGATGTTGTTGTGATTGCGGGAATCATGCAATTGCTATTCAGCTAAAATCTTCAGAATATAATGCTGTGGATTCTGTACAAAACATTCTCATCAAGTGAAGCAGCAGAGCTTCTAAGGGGTGAGAACAAGTTGCCAATCCTCATAAGGCAACTCTTGAATTTTTCGGGTGAAACACAGCCAGTGGGATGTAGTGACATTAGGCTTTATTGATGCAGTGTGAAACGCGAAATAATAACAATCTTAAAATCTGTTGATTCAAGCAAGAATACCGGAAACAAGATCTCTCTCTATACTCGTTGATTCACCAAAAATACCAAGAATAAAGACTCAACAATAATTGATTATCAAAGAATATCTAAGGTTGGAACAAAAGAGTATATCAGCTCACAATTTCATTAATCATCAAAAATTGAAGAACCTAAAGCTTACAACCATTATTTATAGTAAAGGTAATTCTTAAAGAATAAGAAACTAAAAAAATAAAAAATAAAATCAAAACTAATAAAGTAGGAAAATTGCATCATATCAAATTAGGAAATTGAATAACTAAATAATTCTATAATATTTTATACTAAATTAAAAAATTCGTAATCAACTATTAATTTCAAAATAATAAAATAAAAAAAATAGTATATTTTTTTCAATTTGGTCTGCATCACTGATGAATGCATTGCCAAGCATGGAAAAGAGATTGTTTGGGTTGGTTCTCAGCAATTGGGGATGGCACTGGAGCGGGGGGACCTGTTTGCAAATGCAGACCAAAGGGTTGAAATTGTCCCCTACATTGACAAAAGATTTCTCCTCTAAAATAGGATTTCTGGGGTTTGGGTATATTATTGCTATTGTTCCATGAGTCAAATGTCATTGTTTATCAATTTAGATTAAACAAGCAATTGTTATGTTTGAAATGAAGTGATGTCTACATTCATGGTGGTGTATATTCTAAAGCCAGGAATTGGATTTGAATAGCATAATTTGCATTTCACTCCCACTCCCACTTCCACTTCCACTTTTTTTCTTTTTTATTTTATTTTATTCTCTTCTCTTCTTTTCTTTTTACCCCCTAAACCCTACCCATCTCAGTCCATCTCTGGTCGATTTCGCGTCACCGGCGACCGCCAGTCTCATCGCCACGCCGCCGTCACTTCTCATCCCTGTTGTCGACTTCACGGCCATCGTGTTGCCCTCTCACTCTCCTTGGGTATGTTCCTTCATTTGGCATTGATTATGGTAGGTTACTTTACAGCCTTCATTTGGGTATGTTCCTTCATTTGGAAGGCGTGAATGCTTGCTTTTCATTGTATTCTATGGTTGGTTTGATTGGAGCAAAATAAGCGCATTTTTGAAAGGCTGTCTCATTCAGTCCGTTGGTTAGAACGACGGCTTCTTACGATATTGTATGGTTGGGTGGCTAGATCGGTTGAACCGGGTGTTTTGGCTTTTGTAGAATTTGTGGAGGATTTGATTTGTTAGGTTGTTAGTTTGTGGAGCCTCTATGGCTTCCTTTTATGTATTCTTTGCATCGTCTTGATGCTTTTTAATAAAGTTTGGTTATTTATCCCAAAAAAAAAAGAAGAAAAAAAAAGGTTACTTCACAAAATTTTATAGAAACTTTGTTATTGTTGCTACTAGAAGCCCTACACTTTCATGCTTCAAATTCAATTTTATGAATTGGGTTTGTGCTTGATTTGATTGTCCTTTTAAACCCTATAAATGTGATTGGTAAGTTTTCTTGGGATTGTGTGAAAAAGAAAAAAAATTTACAGCTCAGGTTGCCACCATTGCACTACAGCCATCCCATTGTTGCAATCGGTACCGTTGTGGTGGCCACCATTTTTATTTAAAAACCTAATTTAATTGAAATAACGTTGTTTTTTAATATATAGTATAATATAATATATGCATGTATATATATATATATATATTTATTCAACGTGTCCCATTATGTGTCTGCCTCCTAATTTTTAGAGAAATGCCAGCTGTATTTGTATTTGAGTAGGTGTTGGGTGTAGGTATGTGTCTTTGTATTGAATTCATCTAATTGTCCAAAGACACCTGTGTATGGCGAAATTTCATATATCTTAAATAATTTGTTTATCAGTAAAGGGTAAAATGGTGATTACAAACTAACATAAACATTTTATGCATGGAATGAGAGTCTTATGCAAGTAATATAATATAACCCAACTATTTAGGCATACTTGTTGGGCAGTTGTAGAGCCAAGGAATTAAATAAATAAATAAAGGATCTAGCTGGTGAACCCTCAACCGGATTCCAGGCCCTTTCTCCCCCTGTTTCACTGTCACTCTCCTTTGGTAAGTCTTGATGGTTGCCTTTCTCTTTGATGCTCCAATTTTATGCATTGGATTGGTGGTTCGTTGTTCACTTCTTGTTGGGTTTTACTCTCTGTCCTCTATATGATGCCTAGTTGAGTGAGTTGAAATTTGTGTGTGGTGTTTGATTGGTTCTCTGTGGATATGGTTTTGGGGTGGGGTTATTTCTAGCTACTGTTAGTTTGTGCTTTGAATATCTGTGAGAATTGCCCCTGTGCTTGATATCACTTGGCTTTGTGTGTTCATTTTCACATGATCTCTTCTAAGCAATTCTCATTTTTGTTGGTGTGTGCTTGAACTTGATGTTGGTTGCCCATGACAGTGCACTCTTAACTCTCTATTCTTGACATTAATCCACCTTATCACTTGATGTTGACACCACTAATTTGTTAGGTGGCTATTGCAGCTGCAATAATGACCAGAGGGACCAACAAGAAATGGGCTAGGGATGCTATCTCTTCTACCTGAACCAAGAAGCCTAATCAAATGCGGACAGGGTATAAAGAACAACCCAAGAATGCATGGAAAACCAAGGGCTTAGCCCTTCCAACTATTTTTGCAATTGACGAATTCTTTCGCCATAATGAAGACACCAAATGGGCAGTGAAGGAATTAGAAAGGCGCGAGTTGGCGGGGTTGTTTGGGCCTTTTTTGAAGGTGTACCCACGTTTGGTTCGCCTTTTTTATCAAAATATGCGCAAGCAGTATAGGTTCCCCAATGTTTTGTACACTGTTCTTGATGGGGTCTGTGTTCAGGTTACCCGCTCCAACATTCAACAGGCCCTTGATTGTGAAGACTAGTGTCCATTGGAAGAAGGCCCCTACCAGGATCTACATGGTGATCTCTCCCCTGAAGCAATAGTCAATGATATGTGCAAGGGTCACTTCGGTTCTGACCGCCAGTCCACCTGTCGTGTGCACCTTCCTCCGCAGATGTGGTTGATTGACTCAATTTTTCATTTTAATGTGTGTCTGTGTGGCCATAAGGATGAGCGTCAGGGGCATTACTTGAAAGCCTCTATAAGATTGAGAAAGGGTATTGGGTGTTCGTGCCTGACTTAATTTGGGCCGAGATGGACAAGCTTCATAAGGGACTTGTGGTTATTCAGACACAGAAGAGTGAGAGTTGGGTGCTTCCTTTTCCGAGTTTGATTACTAAACTGTTGCTAGATCAGGGTTTCCCGATAGATACGGATGAGATTGTTGTTAACGAGCGTGTTGGCATGTATGGTAAGTCTTATTGGACTGTATTGGACTGCTAGTGTTCAGTCTATGCTTCCAACTCGGACAAATCGACAGCCTGCCCCTCCTCCTGTGCCTATTCCAGTGGAACTGCCCCTGCACCTTTTCAGATGACCTCCGAGCAGTATGAGCAACTGTGTCAGGAAGTTCGTGGTCTGCGGCAGGACGTCATTGCTTACCGTACTCAGTCTCAACAAGACTTTTTGGAGTTCAGATCCCAGTATCAGCAGGATATGTTAGATCTCCGGTCTCTTTTGCAGGCTATTCTTGATGCCCAGCAACGTCCTCCTAGGGTGTGAGTGTTGTGTGTGAGTGGCATGGTCTGAATCTCATAGTCTGTTGTTGTTCTTAAGACTTGCAGCTAACTTTTGGATGGATAGTATGACTTTCTGGTTTTATATATATGTATATATTGTATCGTGATCCATCTCTTTTTGGTGCATATCAGCTGCTTATCTAGTTGCAGGTTCACACATTTTAGTTGGGGGGATATCCCTCTTCCTTATTCTTGCATATTTGTATTGGCCATGCTCGAGGTGATATCTCTTATTCTCTTCTTTGGGTTGTTTGTGTTGTCTCTTTGATATGTCATTGATGTAAAGAATTGGATGCCTTGTGGACATTGTGATCAAGTTAATTATAATGTGAATTGCATTGATGTGGAATCAATGAAAACAAATCAAGTAATTAAACTTGTGCATGTGCTTACTTGTCTTACTGAGCTCTTTACTTAGTAATCTTTACTTAGTAACCAGATATCTTGCCTCAATAAGCACTGAGTGTTCGTGTCAAACCGTGAGAGTCTTGGAAAGAATGTAATGCGAGGTTAACTTGAGTTTGTAGCCTATTTAATTCTAGTTAGTGAGCTGTAGGGTTGTTTAACTGGTTTGGGAGTCACTGGTCCAAAGCTTGATACATGGGTTATTTAGAAAGCATAAGGGACCCAAGCATTGCACTACCCACATTCAAGCATAGTGATGCAATTAACGTGACAAAGGACCATAAGTGCAACAAAAAGCTTGATTCACTGATGAACATGGGAAATTTGATGGGGTTATGGGATTTGGTGATATGTGTTCAAGGATTAAGTTGGGGCCACATCTTTTTGTTAACATTCACTTTACACCAAAGGCACTTATGATATCCTACTATCTGATTATACATGGTAGAGAACTTGACTTGCATTGTCGGAGATAGTGAATTGTTCAATTGCTGAACTGTGTTCATGAATGAGAATTGTGTTTGAACTCAATTGATGTGTGTAATGGTTGTGTGGGAGTTGAGGCGTTTCTTGAATTTAGAGTCTTCATTGAATATGTATTTTGTGGTGAGAGACTAACATGGATGAATTTTGTGTGTAAATTCATTGCAAATCCTCACGAGACTATAACTCGGCCACTAGGAATAACCTTGTAGTTTAAAGACTTGTTACACATGCTAACTGTAGTTGTGAGTCCGACGAAATGGCCTATGATAGTTTATTTTAGTTTATTTTTTTTTTTTTTTCTTTTTACTTTGCTCAAGGACTTGCATTTGCTAAGTCTCAAGTCATTGTTACTTGGCTTAATTATTCCACTTATATGTGTTTTTTAGTTGTTGAACTCTTATGGTGGGATAGTTCTTTAAATGGAGTCTTTCAGAAGTTTGTGGAGCCTCGATGATAGAGCGCCAATTGGGTTACAAGAACAAGAAGGAAAATTAAGTTTCAGCACTTCTCTGCCTGGGCGAGGGGAGCAGAAACAGAATTAGCTCTCAGCATTTTTCTGCCCGAGTGAATCTGGCAACAATCTACTCACTACTTTTAGTTAATTTGGCATTTTTTTTCCCTTTAAGACCTAATTAGGGGAGGACTATATAAGTCTCTTTCAAAGACTTGGAGAGGGTTCCACTTATTGAAGAAAACGGCTCGATGAGTGGCTAGGCATTCCACTTAGGTTTAGATGAAAACCTAGCCAAGTTGCGTAGACTATTTTATTTAGTTTTGGGATTGGTTTGTTGGTAATTGTATAACTTTGACACAATATTTTTATCCGAATGGATAATGCCACGAACGAGAAGAATATTTTGGATGGGTTTATATCCTCCCTGTCAAATGAGCTATGTCTGAATTTTTATGTTTTTGGGGTTAAATACCATCATAAATAGTTTCAATCATTAAATACACCATGCAATAGGATCATTTTTTTTTTTTCATTTTTTGGAAACATAATTACCACATTTAAGTTTATGGCCTTTTGGGGATGTAGAGAATATAATGGTCCATTATAGACTAAATGCATGTGAGAAGTGCTCGTGCATTATATCGCTAGGTTCCCTTCTAATACATATTCCAACTCCTCTGATCTGTTCTCGACAGTCCTGATGGACTAGCGAGATTTGAACCCATGAAACTGCCATTGATTCTCATAAACTAACCTACCTTATAGAGAGACTTGATAGGAGTGGTACTCTATGATTTTGTAAACAGCCAAATCATTAAATATATAGATATGCTGTGCACCTTCTAAGGGGAGGATAGATAACTCCTTGTTGGCCACATCCAGAATGTCATCCAAAGGCTCAAAATGAGTCCATCCTCACCTGGTGTTAAAAAATAGAGAAACAAACTTACCTCTTCCTAACTCTGTTTCTTTCCCTTCTTTCCTTTCTCTCTCTACTTGATCGTACAAATTTATATGCAGAATGATATGATACTTTGTGATCTTTTCATTTCAAATTAAATCATTTACCATTTTAGCTTGTGATTTCAAGAAATTCCACTAGATATTCTTGTTGAGTTATATATATAATATATATATGCAAAATTCCACCCCCCTTGTCGATGAATATGAGTAAAAAAATTCTCATACAATGTTCCTCCAATTTGACTTAGCTGGCTAGCAATCCCAGTTGGTGACAGAGAACAAGATAGCAAGCCAGAGCACCTTTGATTGCTTGTTCTCCACCAAGCATGGAACTTTAAAGATGGCTATAGGTTGGTGGCTAGTTAAGGAAACTTCAGTTTTTAATCCCCTAAATTCTTTTTGTAAGTTATTTATTTATCTTTAAATTAAATAACAAATGATATGTATTTAAAAGATATTCATAATTTAAAATATATGGATCAAATTTATTGAGTGCAACTCACACTATATTAAATAGTATATTAAAACTTTTTCTCAAATGTCGTTTGATTGAATTTTCAGAATCTATTTCTTAAAAACAAACATCCCAATGAAGACAGAAAAAGAAGAAGTGTTTCAATCCAATTTGTACACATGGTTCTAAATAACCATTATATGTATCAGTATCAGTATCAGTATCAGTGATACTTATTTAAACCTGAGTGTGCAATATTTAAGGTTTTTCTGTTCTTTTTCATTTGTCACCTTATCATTCAAAATGCCTACCTACAGATACTGTCAACCATTTTGCTTCCAAGACCTAACATTTTCATAATACTTTCCCTAGCAATGTTTTAAACCAACTTTTCACTACAAAAACTTGCATTCACACCTACATTGAGTTCTCATCTCACCATTAGAGAGAGAGAGAGATGGTTTCTTATACATCTCCCATGTTGTAGTGATTGTGGTTCCAGTGGGCTTGCTGACTAATTTCTATCGGTTGTTATGTGATGCAGATCCAACTGATGGATTCACAAATATTCCATTAACAGAATCAAACTTCAAACTGCAGAAACCATATGACATACCACTTGAGCAGCGCTGCAGCTTCCAAAATGGAGTTCACCGCTTGTGGGTCAATGCCGATGACAAGCCATATAACCCCAGTAGTCCTACCCAGCCCCGCACCGAGATTCGCATACTAGTACTCTCTCTCCACTTAAATTTTGTTTATATATATATGGAAAATTCTATGGTATATTTAATTGTGTACTTATTTTCTATATTTCATTATGGGTAAATTACATGAATAATGGCCTATATAATTTCAATCAATTCGATTTTGTTCATTAATATTTATTTTGTGTTAATATGATTCAATTGATAGCAAAAGGTTTTGTTTTTTTGTTGGATTAATCACATTTTTAGTCTTCAAAATATAAATCTCATGTCATTTTGGTCCTCAATATTTAAATTGGGTCAGTTTGGTCTTATATAATAGGGACTAGATTGACACAATTTAAATATTGGGAACAAAATTGAAACACTTATATATTGGGAACCAAATTGATACAACTTAAAATTAGAGACTAAAATGACACAACTCTTACTTTAGGAACCATACTAAAATCACACATGGCCTATTTTCAAGAATAAAATGGTAAATTCAGTGCCCAGCTCAGCGAGTTAGCTTACTCAACTAAAACCCAACTCCTCTCTTCTTCCCAGGGCTAGCCACTCTCGGTCCTTCCCTCCCATCATTAGATCTCCCCCAATCCTCCCTCTTAATTTATATTTCCTCCTAAGAAGTGAAAGCCAAAAGATTGAAATGGAATTCAAATCTAGGAGAAACCCAAATTTCTCTGCCTGCATGGCTTTAGGATTATGAGGATGGATGGCAGTGATGAATTCACCATTTTGCTCCTACAAATATATCACGTGAGCCGTAATGCCTATTATCCTTAAATTGACACATTAAAAATTTAGGAAAAATCAAACTAATTGAAACTATAGGGTCTAAATCGATACAAGAAGCAAAGTATAGACACTACTGACATAATTTTTCCTTTCATTTATCTTTCCTTACTAATAGTAATATTGCATGTATGAATTTATGTTCTCAATATGGGTTGAGTCTTGATCCCAATCTTATTGAGGGCGTAGTAGTCACCCTATGTGTGACCATAGGAGCCCTTACCCATTCGAAAGCCGAACAAGAGGAGTCTAGAGGGGTTTGCAGACATTGGGGGTTTGCGAGGGATCTACAAGTGCTCCCTCAAAGAGGGCTGAGCCATAGTGGCAAAAGATCCATGGTGGAGCCAATGATCCCAAAGGCACAACAATACTACTAATGATCGTTAATGGGGACATGAGGTACTATAGCCATGACTTAGTGACCACTGATCTGTATGATAAATGGTTCAGACTAAACATAATCCATAATGTGGATAAAGGGATTGTAAAAGTCTTCATCAATAGCTCAAAAACAGTGTGGGGTGAAGGATAGAGGCCCCGGTGATTTGTTTTTTAAGTGTGGAGTTTATGCTGCACCAACTAATGTAAGCTACTATATGAGTCAAGGTGGAAAGACATCAAAATATTCAAGAAGTGCAATTAAAAGCCTCGTTTAAGACAAATATACAAGTTTGCTTGTGGGATGATTGATAGAGCATTTATGAAAAGTTAGTTCATAGTCCTATATGTGTCATGGGTGTACTTTTTTGATGGTAAACAATCAGTCTTTCATATATGCAAAGGTTTTTTTTTTTTTGTTTTTTTTGGTTTCAAGAAGTGCAATTAAAAGCCTCGTTTAAGACAAATATACAAGTTTGCTTGTGGGATGATTGATAGAGCATTTATGAAAAGTTAGTTCATAGTCCTATATATGTCATGGGTGTACTTTTTTGATGGTAAACAATCAGTCTTTCATATATGCAAAGGTTTTTTTTTTTTGTTTTTTTTGGTCAAAATATTCACAATCATTAATATATGTGAAAATTTTGATGTGCGAAAAATCTTGAGACATGATCCAACAATGATGAGTATGTAAGACAAATAGGTAAAAGGATTTGGAGGCTAAGAATTGAGTATCCATTTCTCTACTATGCGTAAAAAAAAATAAAAATAAATTCTCTGCTATGGATTCTCTCTCTCCTTCCTTGTCGCTATGTTTGGAGACACAGATGCAGTTATGCACAATAGGTTCTCTCACCTACCCTGTCACTCCATATTACATCTCTGTCGTATAATGGATCTCTCTAACTTGATCATATGTAGAAAGGAGATTTAGAATAGTATGGGACAGGGATCCACATTTCTCTCTCCAAAACATAGTTTTTTCTTGATGAGATGATTAATACTTAAACAGGGTGTGATTTAGCAAAATTAAGAACACTAACATACCTATGGTCTACTCTGGTTGTGCCAACAAATGTATCCAGACAATTGGCAACCATAATGTAAAATAATCAATGTATAAAGAGAAAAATACAGAGAGAATAAATGTATCTGATGAACTTATTATTGATTGATGTACAAATCATGATTTAGCCAAACAGATTCAACGAGGGCCAGTAGAGAGAGGGAGGGAGAGAGAGAATAAATGTATCTGATGAACTTATTATTGATTGATGTATTGTGTTGTTGTGTATTACAAATGGTGAGTGGCTCATTATATAGGAGAGGGTGAGTGTAGTAGGTGAGGAGTAGGTGAGGAGTAGGTGGTGGTAGGTGATGGTAAATTGGTGGTAGGTGATGGTAAATTCTAACAGCCCCCCGCAAACTCAAGGAGGATAGAAACTAACCAACTTGAGTTTGGAGAGAGTAACAAAACAAGAAAATACATAAAAATAAAAGAGGATAGGAGACACTGTATGGTCGTGTCAGACCATTGGTGAAGACACTGGATGGTGGTGTCATAACGTTGTAGAGGACACTGTATAGGGGTGTCATAACGGTGTAGAGGACACTGGATGGCGGTGTCAGACCGATGTAGAAGACAGTTTATGGGGTCATGTCGGACCGTTGAAAAAGTTGCACCCTCAAAAGGTGTGCCCAATTTTGTCAAAAGGTGTGCCATCAAAAGGCGTGCCCAATCCATAAAAAGACGTGCCATCAAAAGGCGCGCCCAAGTTGTCGGCGAGCACCGAGAGGCGCATGATGCGCGTGTCTGCCGCTTCGTCAGGGTCTTTATAAACTGAGGCGGAGGCTGTGCTTGAGACAGAAGCGAAGACAAAAAAACCTGGGAAAAAACTTCTGAAAAACTCTTCATTTTCTGAGAAAGATATTCGTTTTCTGAGAGATTGAGAAGGAGCCGATTTAGGGTTTTTGAGTGAAACGATAACAAAAAGTGATGTAAAAATGACTTGCTGTGAACTGATATACGCGAGGCTCACTCGAAGGAAGGAGTCGTCGCTCGAGCGACCAGACACAATAAGTGTCCCCGCTCGAGCGCATGAAGCGTCGCTCGAGTGTAGAATACAAATCCCTAGAAGTTTTACAGACAGAAGACCGTCGCTCGAGCACAAGAGTCCTCGCTCGAGCGAACAACAACACCTCCCTAGAAACTCTTAAGGTCTGAAAGAAATACTGGGAGATCACAAAGTTCGCTCAAGCGAGGAAAGCTTCGCTCGAGCAAAGAAGCAAAAATTTGGGCAATAACAATCTAGATCAACTAACAACCAACCCGATCCAAACATGCCCAACACATCCCAAAACTCAAACTCGAAGAGTGAAAGGAAAAGAGATATAAATAAAAATATTAAACCACATCCCAAAACTCAAACTCAAAGAGTGAAAGGAAAAGAGATATAAATAACAATATTAAACCACGAGACCTGAGTCCTAAATACAACAAAGGTCGGGTCAAAAACCGGAATCGCTATGTATTAGGACCAAAATATGATGGGAAGTACCTTCGTGAACTAGTTAAGGAAAAGCTTAGGGAGACAAAACTACATCAGACATTGACTAAAGAGTCCTATATAAATATAAACAAATCGTCTCCCTTCTTGTAAGGAAAAAAAAAAAAAACAGCCTCTCCATTTTGTGCATAAATGATGATTGAAGAATAAAAAACAATTACTCTTTATTATTTATCGCATATCAATTTAAAAGACACGCATAATTACTATACTAACAGTTGATATATAAGAGGAGCTTATAATATAAACTAAATTGTTGTTATTATCATGCAAGAACCAACTTGATTTCACAATTAAAAGGATGAAATCCTTACCTAGGTTCCCAATTTCAAATGTAGAAGCTCAAATATGCAATTTGCCTTCAAATCTCTTAATCTCCAAGCCAAAACAAGATGAAAATCACTCTATCTCCTATCTCTCTCTCTCTAGTCGGCTAGCTCTAGATAGAAAAGGGTGAGATGGTGTTTGTAAAGCAACAATTGAGCCCAAGTCAAAGTTGTAGAAATGGCCACTTAATGGCGAAAGGGTAAATAAGCCAACTAATGTAATTTATCAATAATTAATCTAATTTACCCAAACCAAATCACATTTCAATTAAATATACCATAAAATCACATAAATTCCAATTAGCATAAAATATTAATCAATTTCAGATTCGGCCGCCGATAAGGCCTTCAATTTGCAATTTAAACATAATACATGAACATATAATTTAACAGTCAAACAGATAGACATGCACTTAAACTACCACTCTCAATCAATTAACTCAGAGTTTCAATCGATTCAGTTACTTATCATGATTTGTCTCTGTTTAGCAGTAATCAGTGGTATTATCAATAAACAGTAGTGAGGGTTGTCACACTCAGTGACAGGACTTCAAACCAACTTTGAAGTTATCTAAAAAACCACGAGTCTGGATCCTCTCCAGCCTTTCCTTCCGGCTCTTCTTCTGGTCAACAGACAAGATTAAGCCACGTCAGCCATAACAAAACCTGTGGTTGAAATTAACTATAAAAAAAAAAAAAAAAATTGAATTCATAATTTTCAACAAAATAACATATCCAAAAATTGAATTCATAATTCTCAACAAAAAAATTACCTTGTATACAAGGCCAAAAGATAAGAAGAAAGTGAACCAAAATACCCAACCCCCCAGTCAGATCAAAGGAAAAAAAGAAAAAAGAAGAGGAATAAGAATCCAAAGGAAAGCCTCAAGCGTTTTGTCATGCATGCACTGAAATCCAAGGAGACTTGTGGTTCCATTTGCATAAATGTAATCAGAATTTAAAATATATTAACCAAACACATCTATTTCCTAAGTAATACTATTCTAGGGGTGAAAATAGTCACTACAGTTTATAAAATACACCATCACAAGAGCTATTTAGCATTCATCACAACATACTCCTAACTTCACATATATCTAATTAGTTTATAAAAAAAAAAATTCATTGAAGCATTTTACCAAACACTTGCAATGCAAAAAATCCGTTCACATGTGGTTGGGTAAACAAAGACGAAATATGTTTTCCCCCAAAACCTTAATCAAACCAACACAAAACCTTAATTAAAACAAATGTATGATTATTTTAGATATCGCGTGTAAGTTACATGTCAATGTTTGATCCAGTTATGTAACGGATTATTAATATAATTTTTAAATTTATACAAATTGACAGTGCAATGTGACAAAATGTAATATATTTTAGTTAGAGGAAATAAAATGATATTAAATGATAGTTCAAAGGAGTAAGACAATAATAATCTAGCTTGTTTTATATATATTTTTAGGTGAATAACTCAAATTACAAAATTGATTCAACACTATTGACTACCAACTATAACTAGATGCGGATCATTGAACATTGGCAAATTCATGATAAACCAAGTCAACTAGCAGCATCAATAACATGAAAATATTAACTGTTTACCGTAAAATAACTCGTTATTTTGCTATTCAAATAGCAAACTACCTCAAATTCACTATGCATCTACAAACTGATTTTAGTGATGTGAGATGTCAAATTTTCAAAACCTCACTTCTAAGTGAGGACCAAGAAGTCATTTTCCATCGAAAGCATGGCTACAACATGAGATAGATTCGTAACATTACAGCAATTTAAAACATCAATTCATAACCAAACAAAACATTTCACACAAATAAAACATCAATCATTGAAACAGAGCAATACTATCGCATTGCAGAATCAAAACTTGGCAACAACCAAATGAACAAAACAGAAGAGGGTTATAGTATATATATATAGAATCACTGAACCAGCACAAACAAAACAGAATCAACAACCAACACAAACAAAACCGAATCACTGAATCAGATTTACAATAGTCATATATATAGAGAGAGAATGGGTAGATCTGAACCTTTTTGCCTTCTCTCAATGCCTTGATCTCCGCATATGCAATGCCTTGATCTGCACATACGAAAATCAACAGATAGACCATCTCAATCGAGAGAGAGACCTTCGAAATTGAGAGAGAGCTTTGAAATCAAAATCAAAATCGCCGAGATGTCATTTTGAGATGAATCACCGAGATTCGATTGATCGATCTATTGAGAGAGAGCGATTCGTTGAGATATTGATCGATCGATATTCTGAGATGAATCACTGCTATTGGAAGTACTTGAGAGAGAGAGAGAGCGAGCCGTCCAGATCAGGAGAGGGTTGAGTGAGTGAGAGATTAGGTTTTAAAGAGGGTGTAGAAGAGTGAGTTAGCGGCCGACCCATTTAGGGAGAGAGTGTTTAGAGATTTGAAGGCGCTTTTGAATGCCTCCTATCATCAAAACAATGTCGTTTTAATTAAAAAAAAAGGCGACGTTTACAAAATGCCATTAAATATTATAAAAAAGTGACGTTCAGAAAAACGCCATTAAATAAACGCCGCTAACATTTTCTGTAATGTATAAAGATCATCCGGTGAAATCAATGTGAAGTTGCTTGGAAAAATGAAAATTTTGCTTAGGATTTTGAAAGTCTTAAAAGTAAATATCAAAATATGATATTATCTAATTAAGTTTTTAAAAATGTCAGGTTTCCGATCGTAAGAATTTTTTGAAAATTTTTCATTAGTCTTAAGTGATCTAATAATTGAGTCACCTCTTATGAATACTCATCTAAATAGTATATAATGATTGGGGCATTTAGCAACGTTTGACCACTCGGTAGTTGACCACTTGGTAGCCTTGATCAAGAATGCCATATACTAAGGGAAAAAAAAAAAAAAGTTTATACGTACATAAAATAATGTTCATCATTGCATAGATGTGAGATAAAATATTTGTATTTATAATTGTGATAGATGCAAATATTTTGTCTTACATCCATATCTATAGGATTGTTAAGTGAATCAAATTAATCGAGCTGGACTTGTATCCTATTGGCACTGTTACACAAAAAATTCATTTTTCTATACTTTTTTATATAGATAAATTATATTTTACACTCTTGCATTTTATACCAATATCTACTTTAGTTTCCCGTCTTCATATGTCTCGCCTGTGTATCGGGAGGGTAATTCTGTGGCTCATGGCCTATGTAAGTTAGTCTTTTTCCACGAGTTTGGATAGAAGCTGAAAGTTATGCCTTCATCCTTATTGTCGTTGGTTGCATCTAGGGTCCCTGTTGTTTTGTAATTGCTTTCCCTATCTTAAAAAAATAAAAATGTAGTCCTTTTGTAATTGCTTTCCCTAATTTCATGGAATCAACTGAATCATAGAAGATTTGTAGTGATTTCATTACTACAAATTCTGCTTTTACACGTTTCCGCTACATTGCACACCTATTTATCAGTTCTATCTTTTGCGCAGGGCCTTGACTACTCATCCGGAGTTTGGCAGTTCGAAGGCTATGGTTTTGTCCCAAACTCAACCTCCGGCACTACAATTGTGCAGATCCATGGCGCGACCAATTACACCACAACTATCAAACTGAGGATCTACAATGGGGACATGAGGTACTACAGTGGTGATCTTGTTGATACAGACTTGTATGATAAATGGTTTAGGGTTAACTTAATCCATGATGTGGATAAAAGAAATCTCACAGTTTTCATTGATGGTGTGAAAAAGTTTGAAACAGAAGATAGAGGTGCTGGAGACTTTTATTTCAAATGTGGTGTGTATGCTGCACCAGCAAATATAAGCTATTACATGGAGTCAAGGTGGAGAGACATCAAAATGTACAAGAAGTCATTTTATATAGAGCGGCGTTTGGTTTACTAAAATGAAGGTTAGAATAGAGTGGTCATTATGTTGGAATACTCATTCTCTTGTTTTGTTTGGTAAAATAGTAGGGAATGTGCGTTTTGAATGGAATCACCATTCACTAATTTTGGGAAATTATTATTCGATTAGGAGATCAATGAATAGTTATTTTATTCTTGTTCAAAATCATTACAGTAAACCAAATAGTAACTTAAGAAGTACCAGTCAATGTGAATGAATGCTATTGGACAGAGACCGATTTAAAGATTTATGAAAACATGATACAACCTCTAAATGGTCCTAAATTGTGGTCCAAGACTGGATTATTACAGCCATTACCTCTTGTTTATCATAAGCCTCCAGGAAGGCCTCCAACTTCTAGAAGGAAGGGACCAGATGAACCCACCAAACCTACCGAAGTCACAAAACATAATACAAGAGTAAAGTGTGGTAATTGTGGGACATGGGGCCATAACTATAGGAGTGCAAGAATCCACCAAACAGGGAGTACCAACAAAAAAATAAACCAAGATGCAAGAGCTTAGTCTATAAAAGGAAAAGGGTGAGTGCATATTTTGTTGTTAATGTTTTAAATTAATACAACTAAATATATGTTTGATTGGACCAAATATTTTCCAAGGGCAGCTTCAGCAATTCCAAGGGCACCAAATCCATCTGCATCAAGGGCAAGTTCACAAACACAAAGGGAAACTTTAGCAACAAGAGCAACTTCAACATCAGAGGCAACAATAGCAGCAGGAACAAGGACAACACCAACATCAACGAGTGCAACAACAACAACAACAACAAAGGCAGCATCGTCACAAACATCTCAAGCATCAAGGGGAGCAACATCAACACCAACAATAGCCTAATTTACATGGAGAAGGAGGAATGTTGTGAACTTGTCCTCACTTCAGAATGCATCTGCCTCTTAAGGAGAAGAACCCAAAGTAGGGGTGTTGTTTATTTTGATTATCAAACACTTTTGACAATGTGGCATGCTTTGTCTATGTAGTTATGGATACTGCTAGCATGTAATGTGGCATGTTTTGCCTATGTAGTTATGGACATCATGAACATGTGGCCATTTTGACTTGGTGGATACCAACAATATATTTTATGAAATGAATTACGGCGATTTGCATGTTCATGTGGATATTGGCTTCATTTGTGACAATGTAGTTACGGATACTGCCAGCAAGTTTTCCCCCCCTTCGCTGTCATTTAGTGACCACATGTTTTTCATGTTACTAACTTCTGTCATTTAGTGATAGCATTAAAGAGTCAAACAGTGGGAGTAACAGAAGGGCCAATGTGACACTTGACCAAAAGCGTAGGGGGTTAAGTGTCACAATTTGATGTGTAGGACCAAAATGAGATTTTATGTTCTGTGGACATTTTTTTTGTTTTCTTTTTTTCAGAACTTGTTTATACAATGGAAGTGAATGAGAGATTTCTAAGTAAAAGCTTTATAACTTTTGCAGAATGAGAGATTTCTTTTTCCATTTTCATTTTGTAAAAGCTTTATACCTGTTACTGTAAAAGGGATTTCTATATAAGTCTATCAACAAACACCATATAATGTATATGGATATATGCAGAATAATGGATATCAGGGCCTCCTTAAGAATTTTACATGAATTGCAACAAAAATGGCAATGTGATCGTGTTAGTACAAAAATGTTTATACTTCATTTATAATGTACGTGGATATGTGTTGCTGTTAGTACAAAAGCGTCTTGGTATTTCCGCACTTTTATCTTATTCCTCTAATTTCTATGTAGAGTAAGACGGGTTGTCTTTGTATCATTTAATTTTTTATTTTATTTTGGGAAAATTACCCATAGGTCCCATGGGAAACATGTGATCTCCATTTAATCCCATAACCTTTTCACTACACCCAAAAGTCCTTTCCCCTCTCTCTCTGCTTTTTGCTTCCCTTCCTCTCTCGTTTTTTTTTCTACATTTTTCTGTCACCGTGTTTGTCATGGAAGAGGACCACCGGTGATCATATCTTTCTCCATTGATCGGGGTTCATTGATAACCACCAAGCATTGAAATCAACTCCGACTGAAATCAACTCCGACGAAGAAGATGATATATTTTCCAACGAAGAAGATGAATGGATCTACTTAGATCTGATATAGATCTACTCAGATCTACATCAGATCTGAGTAGATCTACACAGATTTGGTTAGACATCCGTCTTTCCCCTTCGATCTTTTTTTTTTTTTTTTCTCTCTCTCTGCTATACACTTCTGTTTTTCTGTTCTAATGGAGAAAATTTTCGAATTCTGAACAAGCAGTTTTCGAGTTTTAGTTACAGGCGGTGAAAACTGTAAAATTTTGCAGTTTCAAATTTTTTTTTTTGGTGCTGGAATGAATCATGGTTTAAAACTGTAAAATTTTGCAGTTTTATAACATTCTTTAGAACTGTAAAATTTTACAGTTTCATAACATGTTTTTTAATTTTTTTTTCCGGCAATATTCTAGACATTCCGGTGAGTCTCCGGCGACCGTTAAACGGAAGTCCGACAGTAGTAAGATGTGAACAGTGTCTATAAATTTTTTTTAAAAAAAAGGATTTTTTGGTAACAATTAAAAATGTGTTGGACTAATTGGTGCAAGTATTTTGTTTTGGGATTAGTTGGCTTTTGAACTTGTTACATGGGACTTATCAGTAAGTTCCCCTTTTATTTTATCATTATGAAAATAGTAGCAGTCGTAGATGTAACTATTGTTTTGGGACAAACAACGTAAATCATTGTTTTTCTATGTGCTTGTCTTGTTTCTATTTTTTTATTTTTTATTTTCTATTCGTGTTTTGTATCTCACCTATCCTGATTAGATGTATCAATTCCTAACAAAATGTGGTATACAGGAAATATGTTGGACTCAAATTCGAAATTCTTGAACAACATACTAGCAAAATCATACCAAAATCCATTGAATTTTGAAAAAATAAATATGAATTATTAATTTAATTTGTGACTAATCAAACATCACTAAATTCATTACAAAAAACAAATATGGTAAATTATACTTTGCACCCCTACACTTTGGTCTGTACACATGAAATCGTAACAGTCAACCCCTTGCACTTTTAGTGAAATCCCACTTTGATCCTTACACAAAATCATGACAGTCAACCCCCTGCACTTCTGGTCAAGTGTCAATTTGCCCCTTCTATTACTCCATTATTAAAGTTTTTAACAGAATCCAATTATGTAATATATATGTGACTATGAAATGAGCGCAAAAGAGGAAAATCATTCTCATTTCCCACCAATATATACTGTCTCACGTGATAAGCATGTGAAAGTTATATAATATAATATGTGTGTGTGTGTGTGTTCATATGTTGAAAATTAGGACAAAGACATAAGAAAGTAGAGCTTTTAAATTTTTTTTTTTTAAAAAAAAAAGGCAGTAGAGAAATCGAAGACTCTGTTACTGTGGAAAACAAAGTTTCATTATCTCAATTTTTGCAAAACCCAAGTTTATCTCCTTAATCGTTCACAATTTACGTTTTGTTTTAGTTGAATACAATCAAAATTTAATGTAAATTTTAGGATGAAATGTGTATAGATGGGAAATTTGGGTGATTTTTCTCTTTTGCCATTATTTAATAGTCATATACTTGTCACATTGCTGATTTCTGTTAAAAACTTATATGATAGAGTAACAAAAGGGAGACATTGACACTTGATTAGAAGTGCAAGGAATTAATTGTCACGATTTCATAAGTGCAGGGAGTTAATTGTCACAATTTCATATGTAAGGATCAAAGTGGGATTTGACCAGAAGTGTAGGATTTTTTTGTTTTGGGTGAATGAAGTGTAGGGGGTTGACTATCACGATTTCATATGTAGGGGCTAAAGTGAGATTTTGTGTAAAGTGCAAGGATGTACAATGTAATTTAGGGCTGTACAAAATACCGCCCAATCCGCTAAAACCGCACTGATTTATATCAATTCACACCGCTCTATCCGTTAACCGTGGTTTAAATTTTAAAATTTATAATCCGTCTTTGAAACTGCTCTGCTCTACTATAGTTAATACATATATATTTTTTAACCTTTAATGAAATATCAAAGTAAAAATGAATGTGTAAGAGATTTAATATGTGAAATTTATTACAAATTAGTTGTTACATATATGAAAAATATTATGTAAAATTAGTTTGTGTCATATATATGAAAAATATTATGCAAATTAGTGTTATATATTATGTAAATGCTTGATAATTGATTAAAATATTCTTCAATCCGCCAATCCATCCAAAACAGCTCAAACCGCAATTTGTCAATCCGCCAATCTACTAATCCACCATTTGGTTTATAATTTTACTCTCAAATCGCCCGAACCGCGCTGTGCACACCCCTAGTGTAATTTACCCAAACAAAATAATATAAATCATAAACAAATATCTCTAAGTTGCAACTCAACAGTGCTAAGTTCATAACCTATTATGGTTAAATAATATGAATTATAAACAAATATCACTATGAGTTGTTTTTGCAACGTATTTTGGTTTAACATTTGAGTAGTCCTGTAATCATATAACAAAATACCACAAAAGATAAAATTAAATGTAGGAAAACATTATGGCATACATTCCTCAAATGGTATGTACAATATGCACTTTATAATTAGAGAATAAAATAACATAATTTTATACTTTCTGAGTTATAACAAAAAAATTGTTATAATTAAACATAACATGAGCCATGACTAAAAAACTCATGAAATAATTAAAATAATGTCGTAACTGAATAAGAAAACTAATCATAACTAAAAAAGAAAATGACATAATTAGGAATGTATATGATATTTCCCTTTCAAGGGTGTGTATATTACAATTTCCCTTAAATGTATGGTACATACTCAAAACATGTGTGTGGGTCTCGATTCGCCAAAAACTCCTACACCTCGCTAGGAGGTCAGTAAATCAAATCTCCACACCTCTATGTGAGTCTTATTCCTTGTGTATTAATTGGGTTTTTTCTCCCACTTTGAGAGTTTCTTTGGAAAAGTTTGTATTGTATTTGATCTACATTTCTATGATTGTAATTTAATCTGGATTTTCTCACATATTTTGAGAGTTTCTTTGTAAAAATATGAGGTTTCTCTCCTATTTTAGGATTTGCTTTGTAAGAATTTATATTGTATTTAATCTCTATTACTATAATTGTAATTCATTGAATTTTATTGTAAATTTATAATAGCTTATATCAATTAAATCTTTTAAAAAATAATAATAATAAGCGTGGTTGTGTGTAGAATATAATTGTCTAATTTTGAATAATCAAAGTCCAGCCCATTGGATTGGAAAGTAAAAGTCAAGTCTATTGGGGGGCAGCATAAACATTTGGTTATGATTTTCTTGCCCTCTTTGCACGATTGCATGCCGTGAACTTAGGTGAAGTAATTTGAGTCGAACAGTACTTTTACAATAGATTCTATTATCTCATATGTATAATTAAAATTATTTTATTTTCCTTCTATAATTATTTATTTATTTATTTTTTTTATAGGTCTAGCTTCTCTTTAGCTCATATCTTGAATTGAAGGATATTGTTCGAGTTTGTAAGACTCACTACAGGTATCGTTTTATGATATGAGCTGTTTATTTTGTATGAATTTTCATATATATTATCTACACCAAAAACTAGGTTGATTCGATAATCATTATTTGGTTAATTTATTGTGTTTGTCGCCAAAATATATTTTCAAAAACATACTTATCATCTATTTTTTTTAAACCAATGAGATAAATTGAATATGTTACGATTATCAAATTAATCTAATTTTTTTGTATGAATGATATAACTCCATAAAACAAATGATTCGGATAATTGAAAAAGGGGATGTATGGTGAGCTCCACAAGCGTACACAGTACACTACTCCTTTGGATTAGAGAAAAGTCCAACCCTATTATTCACATAAACAAATAGATTGATTCAATAATTGTAATTTATTCAATTTCTCAAATTTATCTCAAAAAAATATTGATAACAAGTGTATTTTTTTAAAAAGATCATTCATTTTTTTTGGGGGTAATAAACGATATAAATTGAACGTGTTACGATTATTGGATTGACTAAATTTTTTGTGTGAA